TGAGAATTGACGTGCCTGGGGTTTCGATGGAACGATAACCAACAGAGTCCGAATGCGATAGACAGGGGAAAAACAATCAATTGCATCAAGGAGATTTGCAATTCCAGCGTGCGACCGCACAGCTCTATTGTCCATGAACCACTGTGATATGAACCAGGTTTTCCGGATGGAAGAAGGGAGTGAGAGATAGACAAATAAAGAGCGAATGAGAGTAAATCAGAGACAACGGAAAACAGAAAGATAATGAATCTAATGAACACAATCGAAAATCGGATGTCACGAAATGGTTTGCTTCAGTAGCAGCGAAGGGTTGTCCTCGGTGAACGCCTTATTTAAAACACACTCCAAAATCAGACAGAATGAGGTTCACATGTTCAAAATTGCGTTTTCTAATCATTCTCGCTCTGGCATTGTTCGGGATTGTCCTAACAGTTTCCACGTACGGTACATCTATCAATTTTTCAACAGTCAGTCAGTCAGTCAGTCAGTCAGTCAGTCATCCATTCATTCACTATTATTTTCATCAGTGACATCAAAATCATAAAATTCTTTGCAATACTGATGAGGTAACCACAAAAAGGTACTCACAATTTCCGCTCAAACCGAGAACAATAAGCACATTGACCCACATAGGCCATCGCGATGATCCCCACGGCGGCAAATACGAACACGGAAGCGACAACTATCAAAATGAGCGTAAAGGGAGACCGACATGATTAGGGGAATTTCGGTGTGGATCAATCAACAACACTATTGTTTTCATAAACTCGATGGACAGGTAAGTTGCAAAGCGACCGATCATATCGAATAGGCGGAACCTCAATGTGTAATACTTTCACCGGGGGTTAACGACGGTGCAATAACACCAGTTGAAAATAAAACCAGATGAAGAATATATCATCTTAGTTGGGCAAAAACCCACTTTAGCAATGTCTTGTAAATGAAGAAGAGCAATTTTACGGATAAACTTTCGCGCCGTTCAATTGTTGACGATAAATTTATCGAATGTAAGAAGATCAGCTGCGATCAGTCGCGGACCTTGTTTCATGGTGACAGAAAATTGATTTGCGAATCACCTCATTTAAGTAGTCTCGATTGTGACCGTCGGGACGAAGCTAGCCAATGTCTGCAAGCTCGACGAAATTCAACTGTAAGTCCAGAACAGCAGCACAGATGATTCCGCAGAGTTCCCTCATGAACCTCATTTTGGCTACATCAGTCCGGTAACCACGTAAGAGGACGAGTGAATTGATATCATGTTAAATTATCAACGCCTGTGATATACAAACTCATTTGTATTCTGCAGTAAGCACCAGCTGAGATGCAGCGAAATGATTCCAGAATTAAATCGTGCTCGCTTGCAGTGTCGTGTTCTTTGTTCAAGTTCATTTTGGGAAATATTTGCTTTATCTGTATTAATATTGGTTTGCGACGATCTCAGAGTGAAAAATTAATTAGCTTTCGGTGCACTCTTGTTGACATAAGTAAAAACCTTTCTCAGTCAATACACTCGTTCAGTTCATTTCAGTTTGACACCTGAATCTAGGGTATAAGATTTACCACCGGAAAATGCGAAATCCACAGTTGCATGTGACTTGGTTCAAATTCTTTCTCGGGAACATGTTGGGTTACTTGTAAGTAGCCTATCCTCAAAACTGAAAATGATTTCTTAGAATCATACACCCATGAGTGACTTTGAAAAGAGCAATACATAAAGACAGATGTTTCATCAGTTTCACTTTTGCGTGGACGTATATAGGTACATACTGATTGCTATCGGGTGGAAGGCAGGTCTACTTCATTAAATCGAGGTGAACCCCTTTTTGATGAAGTGGAAATATGACCGTAGCATGACGCTGTAGAGCTGCAGAGTGACCACGATTCCTTTTTGTCTGTAAAACTACAGCAACAGCTGCCAAATATCTTGTGTGAGTGCAGACCAAGAATGATTAACAGTTGTTTCTTCTTGATTGGGGCTCTTCACCAGTGTACACCATTTATTATGCTCCTGACGCCTCCGAAAACCGTACTGTGGCCGGGAGTGGGTGTCTCGGTTTGGGGGCTGATCATCCTTCAGTTGCACCCTGCGAAAGGCGCCTTGAACTGTCTCTACTGAGAAAGCCATACTCATTGCCTTCACGTGGTGGAGATGTTTTTCCACCGAATAGAAAGGACGAAAAGCGAACATCTTGGGCCTGAACCGGGTAGGTGAACCACTGACAGTTTACTCTGAATCGAAACCAACCAAGAAGAGGGGCTCTAAACTCACATGCATTCCTTATTGTGGCAGTGTC